TAATAATAAATCTGAGTCAATAAAATATGATTCAAATTATATTTGAAAAAGGAAGTGAATAAAAAGTAAATGAATAAATTATATTGAAAAAACAATAACAAAAGTCAATAAAATAATTCATTTGTATTGGTTGCTTGAATCTTTTCACTGATATTTGGGATTGCTACTGATCATTTTCATTTGACAGTATGCATATCCTTTGCGGAAACATTGTAATCAAAGATAGATAATGGCTAAAGTAATCCAAATAACCACTCGCTTGTGCAGTGGGGTCAAGTTTTTATCCGTTCACTTTGGTTGTTCGAAACATTCATCTGTGCTTATAATGCTTTTGACTTAATGGTTATTTCAAAGTAATCCGCAAAGGATGAACATGTTTTAAAGGAGACTGATCAATTAAAGTCCTAAACATCAATGAGAAGATCCAAATAACCAATACCAATAAACAAATCTTCATACCATTGAACAAGCGAGTGAGTATCTGGACTCATTAGCTGAAAGAATACTGCATTGGTACTTGAAGTGAACGGTACTACATTTGCATCGCAGAAAGTGTACACTAAACCAAAATATATTGTCACTCAATTCATTGTTTTCTGAATTTAAAATGCTTTTGTAAAAGTATATATATATATTCTCTTCAAGTCCACGATTGAGGAGAGGACAACAAAACTGTTAATATTTTGATAGCAAACAAGTTGAAACTAAACTGAACTAAAAGTTATTTATTAGTTTTGTGCGTATTTTTGAAGTTATATGTGTAACTTCGTAGCATAAAGTTCTGTGGTTTTATTGAATTAACTTAATGGATTGAAATAAATTTTCAATAAAGTGAGATCGATACGATGCATGAATATGAAATAATTTTTTTTACCTACTAGAATCAATACAATTTTGTTTTATCGTATTCATACTTCATAATTGGTTTTTTTCAATTAAAATAGAATTTGTTCAATGTTAGACCACTGTTCGCAATCCTATTATGATACTTACTGTTGATGAGTCCCATACCAGGACGAAACGGGCGTCCAGTGCTTCCAGGTTTCTAATGGTGGTCTAACTTTGATCGATTCATCATTTCGAATGTGTAATTTAACAGTCTTCAAAACTTCGAAATGAAAAATTGAATTTGGTTATGAATTTTTAAAATCAAACATTTACAAACTATTCAGTCGAATTTCATAAGTTTTCAATGCTTTAATTGTATTTTAAATGGTCAGAATTAATAGTTAGTAAATTATTTCTCAAATCGAGTTAATTGTTATTTGTTCAAAATACTTTAATTTATTTATGAAGCAATTTCATTTTGTTTTAAATGTATTGACATTTATTAGTGTAATTTTCAATTGTAATCTGTGTATGATGGAAATTATTACTTAACTAATAGGATGTTGACATTTTTTAACAATATTGAATTTGTAAAGGCAAATTTCTTTCAAACCTTGATTAATCGATAAAGATCTCATTTTTTTTTTTGCATAAACGAACATGCTACTGGATTTATTTTATGTCTTGCACATTAATATGCATATATATAGAATCTAGTTTATTTATTGATATCTATTAAAATATAAAGCTACAGAAATGAAGTATTTTCTGTAAACACTAAATTCTATGTGTTAAATATTTTATGATTCATCAGGTATTTTATGAGCTAGCTTCATAAACTTTCATAAAATAGTGTAAAGTATACTTGAAGTAAGCGCAGTCATATAATTCAATGCAAATATCATTTAGGTATATTGGTTAATGAGTTTCATTTTAAGTTCAAGAGAGAATACAACTATTTTCATGATTACTTGCTATTAACTGTTTATGAAACATCAAACTCTAAATTATGGTTCTGTTTTTTGTTGATTACAACCAATCTTATTATTAAAGCTGGAAATTTTGCCTTAGGGTAAGAGATTGAACCAAAACCTAATGATAATTTAATCTTGTGAATTTGCAAAAAACAAGCACAATGCTTACTTCATATTATCAAATTATTAACATCATTCTAGTGTATTTGTTTACTTATCAATTGGAGTATTTTGGTGATCAAATTATATCTAATTTATACTAAAAGCACTTAAGTAATAAATGATAAGAAGTGGTCAAATTAAATGTGATAATGCAAGGCCGATAGGGAATAAGGTCTAAGATTTTAGGTATGAAAGTTTGGATTTATCCAACAATGTGGTGTGAATAGAACTATTGTATGGTGGATTTCAATCAGAGTGAATCATCACAATTTTGGATTGTTTTGACAGTTGAAATCATGCATTGATCCTAATTAAATCACCATTGAAAACATGAAATCAGTGGACTACCGTTTCGAACTAGTATGCGAGTCCTTAACAATGCGCAGTCATTACCTCAAACGCAAGAAGAAGTGAAACACTAACACTGTTGGATACCAGCTGAGTGGTCTATAGGTTAAACGTTCACATGCTAGACTGTAGGTCCCAAGTCGTATTCTTACGTTCTGGGTCATGAGTGAACAATGTTGATGAGTCCCATATTAGGACAAAATGGCTTTTCGTTTGTGTTCTGAATAAGATCAGTTTCGGATTTCAACTATGAAAATAATGCAATCTTAGAAAATCCTTTTTACTAGTTTTAGGTTGGGTAAAACATTACTTAGTAGAGGTTCTATTTCGATGTGATAATAATGATTTCATGGTCTTAGAGCTGATGATTTCCCATGATACTCTTATGGTTTAAGGAGAATTATGTAGCTATTGCTATTCGGTACACTATATATACAGTATATGAAGTTACTAAAAGAATGCTGGAAGCTTTGAAATGATAAAGATTGTATATGGCTGCAAAGTATCCATGATTCCTTATATCATAACACCCATAGCGATTGATACCTTAATTTAAAGCTTCAGCAGTTAGATATCCGGGGTTCAAGTACATCGCGACAGTTGATTATGAGAACTGTTTACTGGATATTCACATGTTCTTTATACTGCCTAACTTGTAAATGATATGGAAACAACTGTGAAATTAGAACAATCAATTAAATGAGTTGATATTTCTTTAATAAATGAAATGTCTACATGATTCACTATTCCATATGTTTACAACAGTTCCCGTTAAGTCAGTTTCGGGTTAAATTATTAATCTGACTACATTTTATGATGAGTTGGTGATCAGTCAGAAGAAATTCCATGAATGTGTATTTGTAACTGAAATAGACAACTATGGTTTTACTTTGAGAGTTTTGTCGCTATGTGATATCTAATAAATTGAAATCAACAACACTGCAGGCGTTCGAAAATAGGTCTTACAGGTAGATGGTATATCGAAAATTGTGTACTATAAGTTGGCAAGTAGTTGCAAGGGATGCGTAGCATGAAGTAATCTAATGATAATCTGGTGCGGAATCGTGATCGAACGCCTTAAGTTAGAATGAGTCCTGTAAAACTCATGAGATTAGCATCGATGTTGAAAACCTATAGAATCGTAAAAATGTTGAAATCATTATTTATGACGTTATTCATAGATTCTGTTCTGTTTCTATTGCGGGACGACCGAGAATAAACGTTTCGGAAAAAGAAGAGCAAGCCCTGCATGGGCTGAGCTTGCAAGATGACTCATAAGACTATTTTGTAAACAAGCCATTCATTTTGTAAAGAAAACCGCAAATTTTAATTCTCAAATAAAAGACCTGTGTCTACCACTCCGAGCTCTCTCTTGGTGTGAAGTTCTTGGTTAACGTTGTATCTTATGGTTTAAGGTCTTCTCCGCCCTTCAGTGGCTGCTGATCGAACCTATTACAACTGATGATGAAGATGGAATACAGTTAGCTTACATTCAGGAGCATCACACAGCAACTATCCTACTCCATGTAACTCAAAATAGCCGCTATTCCGCCTGATGTAATTCATCAGCCTCACAGAAACACAGGTACCACATGCACTGTGGACAGTGTTGTTCCATAAGGAGGAACCGTGTAACGCATTCGAAAGCTTACTCTTAAAACTCCTAGTTTTGATTCGTTATTTCTGGTTGATGTCCATTGATTTCTTTATTAAATGTAAGTGCATTCTGTGCGCCTACTGAGTCGTCAGCTCACAGTTTTCTGTTGTTATTCCCTCTTCCGAATAACCTCACACGCTGCTTCAACGTTAAAAACAGTACTCAAGATATTTCCTGGCTATACGCGAACTAACATAAAGCTGAAGTTACAGAACCATTTGTTTTAGGGATTTATTTACCGCTACAAGTCTTTTAAGAGAACCATGAATATACGAATTTGTTTTTGATTATTATTAGCCAAAGACTTAAGCAATGAGTTTTACCTTTTGAGATAAAATAACTAATGATCAAGTAAATTATGTTGTAAAATATAAGATCGAGAAAGAATGAATATGTAATACGTAATGTATTTAAATATTAATATCTCCACATAATAACTAATAGTGAACAAATGAATGAACTTTCTGTTGTACTCAAAACTCATCAGCATGAAACCGAAAATCAATGGTTCGACAGATCGGTAAAATCTATGATAAGTTATCAGAATGAAATATTTGGTATTATGGAGACACTGATAAGATGAAAGTGTTTACCGAGAACAACCAATCGAATTCAATCTGGAAATTGAATAAAAAAGATTTTTAAGCGGAAAAATGAACGGTTTTTATTTCAGTAGTAAATTGCTACATTACAACACATACCACTTCGAACACACTCTTTATTTGATTATGTAGTTTCAAACATTCTTCAAATAATTGCATTGCTTATATTTGCCTAAATCATTTTAATCGAAATTCTTCTTTATCACCTTTAGGAAATATCCACTTTTTATATCAATCAACCTAGTGTATCAAAAAAGTAATAGCACGTGGTCTAGATGATATTTATTCTTCATATCCAGATGTTTTCATTGAAATTAATAGTTGATTGGTTGGTGTTTAACCAATCAGAACAGTCTCATAGTTGGTTAGATGAAATTCGTGTTTGTTTTTATAAATTTGATTTTCATTCATTTGACATTGAATTGTGGTGTAGTTGATTATAATTATTGTTTTTGGAATCACTCGATATCTTTAACATTTTCTCAACCAAAAACAATACATCTATGATGTAAATAATCAATTACTTAGTTTTTGATTTATCATGAAAGCTTTACTTACAAAAACTGAACATTGAAAATAAAAACTGCGGAAACGTAATGTCTTTCTCAACTTTGGATGTCATACAAACAACCAATGTAACTGTACATGATGGTGAGAAAAATAAACATGAGGGAAAATCGATCATTATTAAATATCCCGGTTATCGTATATTAATTATGGATACTGGATTATCAGAACGACACAGTCAACAAGATATTTTATCGATGTAAGTTCAATCAACATATTCTTGTATGTATATATATAAATGACAGATATTTTATTTCTCAGTTTCTAATAATACAAATTTACCAGTCTATAAAATATCAAAAACTTGTCATTGTTATAAAATCACCTGAATAATTTTACTAAGCCACAAGAAATGAAACAAAACAATCGATAAATACTAAATGGTATTTTTAAAAATTGATGTAATTTACCTTGAATGGTTCATGGGTAATCAGACACAAATTTTCCAAACTTTATCTTAGAGAACTAATAAAAATCAATAAGTTCTTTTTCAATTATTTTGTTTTTAAATAATTCAAAAATCATTCAAACAGCTGATTTTAATTTATTCAAATCATAGTTATTTCAATGCGAATCTCATCATGCAACTGAAACCAATTTACTTATAATTCATGAATTCCAACTGTCTTAGTGGAGGATGTGTTGATTATACAGACTAACTTTTAAAATATCTTCAACTTATCGATTGAATAGGTTCAGGTTTAATAATCAAATTATACGATGAGGAATGGTAACAACAATAGTAGTGATAGTGCGACAGTCAGTCGATTGTAAATTATCCTTAACTGCTTATTTATGAAAGGCATTTAAATAGAACAACTTTAAGACAACAAGTCTTAATTATGAAAATAATAATATCAACTGGATGAACATGATAAACCAGTGTACTGAATAGCCTTGGTATTGAAGTTTGAGACAAGAAGGGGTATACTTAATAACACCAAAAACCTATAACAACAACAACAGGATATTCTAGCGTCTTTAGGTTCACACTAATCTTTGATCTCTTAACACTCACTCAGAACATCAGGACAGAAAGTTGATGCAACTCATTACACGCATCAGAAGACAGGGAAGAAGGGGAGGAGGAGTATAGCAACAAACATTTCTCTTTTTATTTTACACACAATTCTACAAGATAAACTGTAATCAATGGATTTGTACATCGCTTGGTTAACATGCAAAAGAAACAAGTTGACTAAGAAGTACTGAAGTAAACATTTTACTAATAACTGACTTAAATTTAGCAAATAATCTATTGTAAAATACCTTAGAAAGAAATTTAGAAAATAATGTCATCATCAAAGTAGTATCTTCTTTTTCTCTAAGTAATCACAATATATATACAAGTTGTGGTTCCTTGTAAAAATTTTGAACTGATAAATAAGTTATTATCAGATACATTCATCATATCGGTTTTCATAAATTTACTTATTTATTTCTTAAATCGAAGTAATATTCGTGTACGTTGTACAACTGGCTGTTAGTAAGTTTAAAGATAACGCGTAACATTGAACTTGAAATAAATTGAACATATAAATCATACTATGAACTTGTTGTCACTGATCAATTGGATGTTTCGAAATTACTATTTATTCAAATATAAGAATGGTAATCCTTATCTATGAAAAGATTACAGTAGTATTATTTTTTAGAAATCTATTCATTGACACTAAAAACCAATGATATCTCGGTTTTCGTGTACTCGGTTAAGAATCATGTCGACAATAGTCCATTGAAGTCAACTTATGCTAATCTATTTCTGCTACTAAATACTTCATAAATAAGAGAATTTTCATGGTTAATAAACCAAGAATTATTCTCGGCTAGACCACTGATGAAAATCTGGAAAACGTGGACGATTGTTTCTTCCTAGTATGAGTGAAAATTCTACAATCTCTACAAATCCCCAATACTAATAAAAATTAAAAATTGATTTGAAATTTCATTGGCAACTAATGAAAATCACTGCGCCCTAGTCCATGTATTTTGATATTGAAATGTTCAAGTTAACTCAATGAAATGATACTTTCTCTTAATTAATTCAGTATATAAAGTTACCGACATTCTGGACTCAATAACTTAATGGATAGTGCAGTTGGTGTCTGAAGTAAAAGATACTGAATTCAAATCTCCATGTGTAAATGAACACTGGTATGCAAATACACTCCGAACGTCGTGTTCCAAACAGGATTAGACTGTCAATTAAAATTTATCTACTCAATAAAACTTATGATAAGCTAACTGTATTAAGACAATTCTTAAAATATCCATATAGGAGCTGGCCGCAATAAAGTTACTGATAGTCAAACCAAAACATGGCGCAAATCCATGAAGTCACTTACAAATGAACTGGTCCCTATTGGTAGGTGTAGACTACGTGGTTGGAGTCCACGAGGTAATAGTAACCACCGGTTAGAGACCTTGAATGGAATGGTTCGAAATCGTTTGCCATGGCGATGCATTCATTCTTTGTCATCTCTCAGATTGTAATCTTCTTAACTCCTCATCACCTTTTTTTCTTGTTAAATTTGTTTCACTGTATTACACTTCTTGAATCATATCTTCGATCCCTAATCTTACTCTATTACCGCTAATTCTTCTGCAACTACGATTACTATGAGATTCGAATCGACATTACGATCTCACTATGCTAATGTGGTATAGCAACTAGAACTGATGTACGCACGCACTTACGTACGAACTTCTACATTGTAACTGACTGAGTGACTATCCCAACTTAGAGCAAGATCAAAATTCAATCAAAAACATCAAAACGTTTGCACAATTCAAACCATTTCTAACGACAATATATGCTTGTGAATTAAAGTGTCACTGAAAACTAGCGATCAGTCACTGACCTATTCAAGTTAATTCCGTTGAAATTATGCACATTTTATCATTGTTATTTGAGTTTGTTGGTTTCTTTCCGAACAAATGACATTTTATTAGACATCTACCACTTTATAAACGGTTTAAATGAAGGGCGATTACATAAATCTTCATAATACTTATTCTGAATATATTACCTGTCTGTCAGTTTTTTATTTTTTTAACTCTACCCGGTATATACAATTAATTGATTGTTTTCTGTTCTAATTGACTGACCTATCACAGATTAACGGATAAAAATTTATCGAATTCTTATATATACTACTTAAATAATACATATGATTTTTATTTGAAATTCAGCAAGTACATAATTACCACATTAATTAAATGACAAAGTGAAATATAAATTTCACTGTAATCATTTTGGTTCTCGTTGTTAAAGAAAATGAATCATCTATAAAATCTTGAAAAACTATTAAATTAGATGAATTTTCTATATACAGATCTAGTCAAGATAAACTGATTGACTTAATTTTTCATAAATTCAAGATAATAACTTTTTTATGGTGATATTCACTTTACAAAACACCATTAAGCACTTCATAGGTTTGTACAGAATGTTTATGAAAATTTATCTTAAATACTACTTCAATAATGCTTTAATTCTGATAATTACTCATACATATATGCTGAATGTATATTCAGGTATGTTATATTATTTTGAAGGAGTTTAGTTCTACACTTTGACTTGCCTTTAAAATCATTAAAAAAAAAGATCGAGTTGTACAAGCAAACAAACAATCTGGAATTTGTTTTTGGCTATTATCAATCTATTTCAAATTATTTATTATTCGTAACTGACTCATTTAAAATCTCTGAGGATTTCCCCAAACATACTTATATGAAAATTAACAATAATTGTGTGAAATGGACGTGAAAAACTAATCATAAATTTCTTTTTGTTTATTTGATTAGTTAAAAAAGTAATTTCAGCGTCAATGAATGTTAATTTATGTGATCTTTTGAATTTAGCTGCTTAATTTTAAAAGTTGTTTGGTTCAATAACTTATTTCTTTTTGTTGGAGACGTTATATCACGAGAACTCACCTGGAAAGGGTCCTAATTTTGGATATTTTTATGTTTTCGTGCAAGTCGCTAAGTTGTCCTTGAGCTTACATTTCCCATTCGGAAAATCTTTGACTGTCATTGGTTGACAGATTATTTTTGTACGTGATTTCGTGGCTCTCCCAAGGACGTCGCTATTATTTTATAAATAAGCTCGATTTGTGTGCTTGTCAACCTCGTATTTTCTGGGTGTTTGTAGAATATACTTTCTACACCTTATCAAGACTTCTTGATATAGTTAGCCAGGCCGAGAACAACCGAATGGAATAACCTATCGTGTCATTGGATCATTTGTTTTAGCCCCGTTTACTGAGTAAGGTGAATTCGTAATAGTTTCAAGCATATCAATTGACGCGCATATCTGTTTTGTGTGTTGACACAACTGCATACATAAATATTAATAATTTGTAATTATAAGAGAGTGTATTTCACATAATTAGACCTAATTATTATCCGTATGAAATAAATTTATCATTAATTAGACAGATTCAGAATAAATTATGTACTGCACAAACCATATGTGGCCTGTAAATAGGAATAACACTAATGATCAATGACATTGTTTAACTTTATAAATACCCAGAAAAAATATTTACATCGATTGTATTTGGTGCACATGATTATATAGTTTGTAATGTTATGAATAAGATTTTAAAAAATTAAATGATAAACAGTTTCGGATATTTTAGTAAACAGTATATTAGTAAGATAGTTCATTTAGTGCCCAAAAGGTTTAGTTCTGACAAACAATTCTGAATATTTGTAACTGACTCAACTGTTCAATATCACTTTTGTTTATAAGCTTTCAACAAGAAAAAACATTGAAGTCAATGTTCTTATCTTTGGTTATTTTTATACCGATTGAAATAGACAAAGTAATGAGATTAGCAATAGCACTGAAAGTGCAATTAGTAAATATATTTTATATCACGTAGTTATTACATGGACATCACAGTGGAACTGATTTCAGTCACATGCTATTCTTTATGCTTCGTTTTAGTTTATTAACAAGAACGTGTTTTAGATCTGTATTCAGGTATCTGTAATAAATTTTTAAAACAAATTCTTAAACTATATTTGCGCTTGTTACTGATTAGATTTTATTGTCTTTCTTTTTTTTTAAAAAAAAAAACAAAACCCACAGATAATTTTATGCGATTTCTCTTGATTTCAGTGTGAGATACAAACAAGATAAAGAATAATTACAAGTTATGTAATGAATTTGTTTTTATTTCATAGTTG